GTAGGCTAAAGGCATGATTGTTTGGAAGTGCCTACAATATGCTTAAGAAATCTAACACTATTCAAGAAGCAAAGCTGTATTCATAGCAGCAAAGAACAGGGATTCAATTATACTTGCTCCTTCACAAACTGTTTCGTAACCTTTTCAGTGTTGTCTCCCTTAAAGGCCAAATGGATCAAAAAAATTAAAAAAAAAAAAGGAAAAAACCAGTAATTTGCTCAGGAATCATGACCAGCACAGTATAATTCTATAGAAGGCAAAAGCACAAGCAATTTTCTGAGTCACATACTGACCAAAGATGGCAGAAACTTAAGTTTACCTTTGCTGTTTAAGCAAAACTACAGGAGGCATTATCCAAGAATTGCATTGCTCCACCTCTTTCACACCAATATACATAATAAAAAGAAAATAAAAAGTTTTGAAGGTCAAGACCAAATATCTGAGACCAATTTATCATCAGCAATTCACTCTTGGGTTCAACTGACATTTTCCTCTCACTGAGGTAAAGGATGGCAGCCAGCCTTGAACACTTTTTTCATTCCATCTGCTAAACAAAAGCACTGAATCTGGTTATATTTTATATATATCTAGGGGGGTTAATTGAAAGAAAAAATGATAACTAATTTAGGTTTTCCACATAGAATAGAGAACGACAGAAATTTTACCTGCACTGTGAAAAGCAAATTGAATGCTTCTTTCCGACAGAACTTCAGCCTTAAGAATCCCCAGGTCAAAAAACTCTCGTTGTTTTTAACATGTGCTGCTTTAAATGGCATATGTAATATATTGTGTGTAAGCAGTAAGAAATGGCTATTGCAAGCAGCAGTTCCTTAGTTAATGAAAGGTTTGTCTTTATCACGAACAGTTTATTTCAAATTCCCAGAAATTATATAGTGCATCTAGGCAGTTTGACACTGGTCTATAAACTGTTCCCTCAATCTCCCTCACTACTGTAGAAACAGAAGGTGGAACACTTCTGTTTCTACTGCCTTTTGATCTGTAATCTGCAGGCCCACAAGTGTGGCTCTGCTATGTAAAATTACCCAACATATAGAAACTAGACATAAAGACAGCATAGCAGGGAATAGTCAAGAGTTTTATAGGGAAGTCACTTAAAAGAATCAGCAGATATATGGAGAAAGGTAGTGCTCTTAAATGACACCAGCTCCTGTGAGATAAACAATCATTTCACTGGTTAGCAGTGGTTAAAGGATAATAAAAAGGAAGCAGGCAGTTTTCAGGCAACTAGAGTTAAGGGAGCAATCTCTAGTTTGTGTTGCCTGCCACCAGTATGCCCATGTTGGCAGTGCAGTGGGAGGGGATTTGCAGAGTCAGGTGAGTTCAAGACACAGGGGCTACAGGACAGGCATTTTCTGGGGAGAGAGAAAAACTTCATTTTGGGACTTGTTTGTTCCAAAGGGCAGAGTACCTGCTACCAGTTACAGCTCATCCTTTCACTTAGTTTTAACCAAAGAAAATACAGTTTGTGCAACCTGGGTCTGCTCTGTAATATGGCCCAAAGACCTGTAAAGTGGAGGTTCCAAGCATGTTCAGCTCAAAACTACATACCAAAATACTACGGTGGATGCACAGACTAATGAACTGAAAAGACTGAAAACTGAGATGGTGAAATCTGCTTTAATAATAATAATAAAAATTTCTTCATGCTTGCCAACAGTAAAATTGGTAGGCTGCTAAGAGCTCAAGCTTTGAATGAGAAATTAATGAAATCAGTGTTTAATAAGCAACCTCCACTTCATGATTGTACAGAAATACCCACAAACAACTGATGCCCCTGTGGACAGAGCACACAGATGGGTTCTAAGCAAAGCATTTCCATTTCAGGTAGCTTTCTTTGAAGACATCAGCTCAGTGTTCACTGATAGTCAAACACCACACAAAAGGTAGGAAGCATTAGAATAGGATTACAGAACCAGAGCCTTTTGGCAGATGTCTCATTCTTTCTGGAATTTATATGGAATTTTTACTGCATTTCTGGTCAGCCTATCTCAAAAAGGTGTGGCAGACCTGGAAAAGGTATAAGACTGGAAAACTGACCAAAACTGGCTGTTGTTCAATCTGTGAAGAAACAATAGGGGCACAGGGAAAAAGGGAAGACTTCACTCTAAAACCATAAATCTCATAGAAAAGCTGAATATATGAGATTATCACTACATATTTAGAATACCATCAGAATCAGAAACACCTTCTTTAAAACATTTTAAGGAATGAAACAGTAGTACTTCAAGTGAAACTCTGGAATGGCTTATCTTAAGGTAATGTGAAGGTCAAACATTTAAAAAAGCAATTCAGCAGAAAATTAAACAAACTTCATAGGTCTGTAAAGAGGCATTAAACACAACAGATGTGAGTGCAGTTTTCCAATTCAGGAAATTCCACCAATCCAAAGTCTGAAGTCTATTCCAGAAGACAGCTTACTTTCTACTGGTCCAAACTTTGATGGTCCTCCTAAGTCTGGGAGGAAGAGTGATGAAGTGGCCCGTATGATCCAGCACTGCTATCCATGTGATCCCACCTGAATGGCTTTGAATAGGTATCCCTCATAAAATGTTTTAACAGACTTTTTTTTTTTTTCCCCTTCTGTTTTCAAGGTGAAATGATTAAAAAAGAGCAGAATGTTTTGAAGTTTCTTAGATGGTATCAAATGTTCCTACCAGCAAAAAAGGTCAGTATCAGTTTTTTCTTCCACTATATTTGATCTGGGTTTTTTGTCCTATTATGGTTGTAGGGGGGAAAAAAGGGGGCAAGGAACAGGGAGGGAAGGGGGGGAGTAACAAAGACAGGAGAATAAGGTCCTAAAGTGTCCTAAGCTGTTTAAAGGATCCCTAAAAAAATCCAGCTGCTTATTTCTCAAATTCAGCTTTAGGTTTTTTTGGGATATAGCTGGTAAAAAACATGGATGAAGGGGGAACTATCTGGGTGAAGCAAATACTATTCAGAGCTCTGGTTGTATAGAATTCCTCTCTAGTTTGCTAAACTGCTTTAGCAGTTTGCTAAACTGCTCAAAATGCAAAAAGAACATAACCTAGGTGTGCTAGGCAAAAGATAAAAGCCCCAAAGTTCAACTACTTAGTGGACAGTCAGAAACTGAGGTTCACATTTCAGTTGTTGCTTTGGAAAAGATTGTGCTTCATCACTTGATTTCCCAGCCTTGTTTGAGTCTAGTTTATTTTAAAATTATGGTGATTGGGAAGGGGGAATTTCACCAGAGTGCTGATAAATCACTGGCAAAAGAAGGAGATGGTTAATAAGTATTTACAGGAACTTTTCATCCTCTAAAATGTTGCAGCTCCCATGTACTGACTTCTTAGTAAACAATTCATATAGTTCATTTACAGCATCTGCCAAAACTGCAGGGAATACAGAATTCTGCAAAACAATTCTGCTAAAATCTGCTAAATCTTGGTACTTCCAAAAACTGAACAGGTAGTAACATTCTCATAATCTCATCAACTTTCAATATATTTTCATTTTTTGAAATAAGGTTGCTAATAAAAGGGTTTATTTTCTGCATGATCTCTTTCCCTTCCCCCACTGCAAGCTCAGACATGAAATTTTTGGAAAACACTGAGCAATACCTGAGGGAGGGGTGGGAGTAAAATCATCATTGTCAACTGATGTTCCAAAACTAGGACATTTTAAAAATCTTAATGATGTTTAATGCACTGAAATAATGAAAATTAAATTCAGGGGAAAAAAACCCTAGATATTCACATTAAGCTATCCATAAGTCCAAGCAACCAGTAAAACTGAAAACTAAAACTAACTTGCCACTCCATTTTCCTAAAGCTCTGATGAAATAGGGCATGGAGTTTTGTGCAGCTTTTCGGACAAGTTAAAATAATTCAGTATGTTTAAAGAAGAAACTGATGATACAATTTTATCATGGATAAAATATCAGCATGGCTCCATGTCATTGAAACCTTACTAATGGTTAAAGTTATATCTGAAGATGAAAAACAAACTGCATACTAATACACAGAACATATTTTTAAGACAAAATAGTTCATCTCACTCTTAAAATTGTTCACATATTCACATACAGAGAAATATTAAATTGATTGTGCTACTTAACTTTCCTACATGGGGTAAAGAAATAATCTAACATTATGTGCTTTAATTTACTTCCAACAGTTAATCTCCTCCTTTTCTCTCTACTGGAGGACACTGAAAGTCTATTTATAGACATCAGCCAAAGACTTTGCACCTAGCTGCAAGTTCAACTCAAACTGCAGTGGAGCTTTCCTACAGACAAGGTGAGAATGAGCAGTGCCCTGAAAGAGCAAAAACTTTCAAGGGGTAATGAATATTTTAACAACTTCTTTTTTTCAGTTTACAGGAATGAGTTTACTAAGGCTGATTTCCTCCCACATTAAGATTCATTTCTGTCCTTGATACAGTTGCTTTCTTCCTAGGAAAAACCCAAGTTATTCCTCCAAAACTGTGTTATTGGAATCATGTCCAGAAGAAAAAATTGTCTCCTGCAATGATGCTTTATAAAGATGTATGAGTGATAACTGCAGAAAATCCAGAATTGATAAAAAGTGAGAAGAATGTTTGGGAAACAAACTAGCATCAAACCTTTAACAGCCATCTCTAAACAGCTCACAGATGCAAATGTCTATTTTATTCCTAAAATCCCAAAGGCTAACTCTTGTTGTACAGATTGGCTGATTACACACATGATCTTCTCTGGTGCTCTGGATGCACATTCCAGAGATGTATTTTCAAGTATCTAAATATCTGTACAAATATTGCCTTTAGATGTCTAAAATGGCATAACCCTCAGTCACACAATTCATTAACTCTCTCAGTCCTTGTGGTCTTTTTTGTGGTAGGGTTTTTTTTTCCCATTTGTTTTCCTTGGTTTTAATATTCCTCTAGCTGTACTTTGTTGTGTTTCTAAACACAGAAACCAAATCCAAGAGAAGTCTTTGGAAGGAGAGGGGTAGATGGCAGGCAATAAGAGTCTCACATACCTCTTGTTGTGCATACCTTTGAACACTTCATTGAGAAACTTTCCTTGGGAGGATAAAATTCTGGTGGTGGGCCAAAATACTCCGGTGCTGCTCCTGAGGTTTTAGAGTAAGGGTCTGAGCAAACAAGAGAAGTCCTTGAGTGCTGGCCACCTCGGATGTCTCTACAATGGAGTAAACAACTGATGGTTATACATAGGTCACAGTCTCTCCTGAACGTGAGAAATGAATGTTCTAATGTCCTCCCAAACATTAGAACATGAGAAATTATCAGATGCTCCTCTTAGTGGAAGCAACTAGCTTGCTTCACAGGCATCTGGCCTTTTTTGCTTGCCTGTTTTGAAAGCAAATATCCCAAAAACTTGCATAAATCCATGTTCACAAGGATATTTGCATTCAATGGTCCTCATTTTGAAAAATAGTGTACTCACTGGGTAGGCTGGCTGAACTGTTTAGCTTACTGGCAAAAGGTAGAAAGAGGAAATAACAGCTTTTTCATGAAAACCAAACAATTTAGCTAGTCCACAGCAGGTCACATAATAGAAATGAGAGAGATTTTGGCATAATAAACGTGCAAAGTAGCACAACTATTTAATGGGTCTTTGTACTTCCAACTAGTGTCTCTCACAAAGATGTCTTTAAAAAAAATAAAAGCCATTAAAATAAACAGACAAAGATTTTAAACTAGGGAAAAAATAGCCTATTCAAATTTTGGAGGTCCTTGAAGATATTTGAAGAAGAATCTAAATTCAACCCTCCTCCCCAAAAAGATCCATTTCTCCTGTCTCCAATTAGTCTCTTCATTGATAAAATGGTCCAGTTTTCTGCAATGACATACAGCTCCATATCTGAAGCCTGATGATTTTTTAAGTTGGTGAGATTTTGGTTATTTTATAAGGAAAGTGCAATTTTCCCTTTAAACTGAGCAAACACTCAGGTTAAAAGAAACATTGGCTGCACATTTTTTGTGTGGTCTAACAGAAATTTTCTCCCTCATTGGAAGAAGAATTGGAGCTGGCCTTTTTCAAGGTATAGCTGGATGAATTTGTTATTAAAGGGTATTTTAAGTCTCATTCAGCATTATTATTTTTAAAAGTCTTCTTTGTATTCCTTTTTTATCTTGAATTTCTTATCCACAGATCAGCATTTTCAACTGTAGTTTTGTTTCCTAGTATCACTGCACTTCACAAAGGTTTATCTTCATCCAATTCCAGACTCAATGTAATCTCGTTCATCCACATTAAATCATGTTCTTTGTAGTTTTTACATTTTAATTAAGACATTCAATAACAAGACCAATGCTAACGTTTCCATGTTTAGCTGCCAACAGCTCTATTTGGCTGAAACATTTCTGATTTTTCTGACCTCTGTCCTGTGTCTTGTGCAACTACCAAAGCATCCTGTGCAGCTGTGTCACATAAATTAAATAAGCTGTGTGATTTATAAGACTTCCAGTAACTTGAAAGCAATCCCTTTGGTACTTCTGATGCAGCTGCTTCTCTCTATTGTTTCCTGTTACTTGCCAGAAAACAAAACAAGACAAAAAATCAAACCAAACCTCCCCCCCACCACCAATGTTCAGCAGCAGAGTACATTTAGGGAAAAAAAAAAAATCCTTTTTTTAAATGCCTTTTTTCCTCAATATGGCCTGTTCTGGCCACGTTTGCTGCTGCTTTCCTTGAGGATTTTACCATTCTAGGTAATTCTCCTCTGCTCTGGGAGGAAGGTTGCTGTAGGAGTTTCAGACAGAAATGCATTTGGAAAGAGAAACACTCTGGCTAGAAAGTCTGGTTCATCAGGGATTAAAGTATTAGGCACCCAAAGTACAACTAAATTCTTCCCATGTATTTCATTACAGGGTCTGGTGGTCTTCTGATCAATCAGCCAAAGTTTTCACCAAAACCCATGAGAACTCCATGAGAACCAAGCAGAGGAAATGCTGTTAGGTTAAGCCAAACTCCTTCAAAACAACTGACAGAAAAGTTTTTCAATCAGTTTTAGTGGGGTCTGATGGCCCCCAGATGCTTGACTTGACTCTAAGAATTATCTTCGTGGCTGTTACAGATTTGCAACTGCAGCTTCCCTTCCTCTAATCCCTGGTGGATACAGGGATGTCTGTGAACCTTTACAGCCCATCCATCAATTTTCGATCTACGAGTCCAAACATATAAAACTAACACAAAACCAAGAAATCCAGAGAAGTGCTTTATTAAAAAGTGGTGGTTTAATTTATTGCTAGCCTTTCACACATTGCTTATATTATGCTACACATGAAAGAAAAAAAAAGCCCACATCAAACCTCCAACCTTTTTGGGTTTTTTTTCTTTTTCTCTCCACTGTGCTATTAACATGTTACTGGCATTAGCTGGTCTCACTTCTAATGAGTTCAAAATAATTTAACTATATTGCCTGCCAATCTCTGCTTTTGCTAAGGACAGGCATTCAGCCTCTGAGGATGATTCTTAGGCTGGTCTTTGTTCCGATTTTTCTTCAATTTTTCATAGTTTAAGAGAGACAGAAAAAAAATCATTAGCTACTTTCACGATGCAATAGTTTTAGCACTATCCAAGTGTTTTATACTTAGCCATAAGTATTACTTGTAGTCCACCCAGTGCTCTTCTCTGCTCCTTTCACTGTCATCCTGTTTTCCTTACTAAAATGCATATTATCAGGGAGTACTTCAGTATTTCAGCTTTTCAATTAAAAAGCTTTTCAGCTTTTCCATTATATTTATCTCCTCTCCCTGTTTTCTTAAATTCCCCTACAATCATGTCCCCAGAGACTAAATGGCAGAGATGAACACTCTGCTGCCATGGCCAGTTTGCCAGTGGTGTTTAGATCTACAGACCTCTCTCCTACAGTGCAGCCACGCACTGGCATGACCTAAAAGGCAAACAGCCTAAGCTCACATCTAGCGTGCTGCAGCCAGGCCAGGCTGGAAGGAGAAGTGCAATATCCTAAGAGTTTATTTGGCACTGGAAACCCATTAGTTGATCTGCTCATTGTGGTGGTAGGGGCTGACCCACTCTCAAGTGCTGCCAACAGCCTTAGACACTTCAACAAGCACTCATCTATTGACAGCGACTACTGAAAGTAATTTTATTTCAGATTAACAGGAACATGCTCACAGCAACTTGAGAGCTCACAAAGTCCCTGTGCTTGTCTCAGACATGTAACATTCTTATTTAAGCAGTGCATATTTGGCAAGCCACAGCTTGCCATCACCTGCTGACCACTGTCTTCAGGAACTGTACTAAGACTCATAGCCACATTTCACCTACTTGTCACCCAACCTGATTCAGATCATCCCAGGAAATTCACATATCAGCCTGTGTTACACAGCCTAGCTTTCTGTCCTGTCTCCAGCTCAAAACAAAGAAAAAAGGTTTACATTTCTAAGTGTAAAATAGCTCTCTTCCAAATGCAGTATGCCCATGCTTTCACAGCTGAGTAAAAGCTTTCTTTACTGTTGTAAATTAAGCCTACTTAAAAGCAGAGAGAAGACAGACATTATAGACCTGCTGTGATCTATTTCTCTGAGGAGATAAAGACGTACCTTGCATTGTATGGGTATGGTTTTCTTGCTCTTCTGTCTTCCTTGTATCTATCAGATCTATGGTTCTCATGGTGCCAGTGCTGCTTATCTTGGTATCGACTCCCAGCATGAGACATCTTGTTTCTCAGATGTATTCTCTCCTTCTAAAATAACTTCCTGAGCCAGAAAAATAAAACCGGTTCATTTTATTGCTCCACTTAAAAGTTATTCATTGACCAGCACTCACTTCCATTAAATGCTATTCAAAATCAGTACAGACTTCTTCAAGAAGTGACGGAAGTAAAACCCTTTAAACTACAAAGTAACTTCATTAAAGCAAGAAATTTTTCTTACCATTTCCTTTTCATCAAGTAAGTGCAATGTTTCTGTACCTGACATTTACTGCACTTCGATTATTTACTAGGTCTGCTCTGATTCTCCTGCCTTTGCTGCCAGTGCAAGGAATCTTGTCCACCAGGAACTGAATCTTGTCTTCTGCAATGTTTTAAGCCCAGCAAGTGCCAGTGCACTGCAGGAGCGTGCACACAGCTGCCACTGGCACAGGGAAGTCTGGAAGAGCAGGCTGTGACCTTTGTCCTGGGAGTTTCTAAGAGGAGGGCACCCGTGGGTGTAAGCAGAGTCACTACCAAACGTTGCCTACGATTTACATAAACATTAGGTACAGGCAAAGCTGTGCTGGGCTGAAAGTAAGCTGGCAAGAAGCTATACCCTGATAATTCCATATTAAACACACCAGTTTGTTATTTGCTGAAAGTGTCTTTATCTTTTCAAGTGCGATACGATTAAACCCAAACCTGTAAAATAGGGAAACAGACTTCAAACACCTGAGCAATCTTTAGACTCATTTGCCTTCATCACAGCCCTTCAACATCCCTGCAGTCGGTTTAATTTGCACTCATCAAGGCCTGATAACCTTCCTCCATCACCTTTGGGTGTTACAAAGTAAATAAATGAAAACATACAAAAACATAACATAAAGGAATACATTCATTTTTGTTTACATCTAAGAGGGAAAGAGACAGCGCCTTCCCCCGAGGGCAGGAGCCATTCCGCAGGGAAAGGTCCCTGCTGCCGCCGCCACAGCGCCCCGAGACCCCCGGGGGTGGCCCCGGCGTGGGCGCTGCCCCGGGACACCGGGACACACCGGGCACCGGGACACCGGGACACGCCGGGCACCTCCCGCCGGGCACCTTCGCTTCCCCCCGGCCCCGGGGCCTCACCTGAGGGAGCGCCGGCTCCGTCCCGTCCCCCAGCAGCTCCCGGCGCGCCGGCACCGCCCTCCCGGCCCGGCCGCCTCCCGCCTGCCCTGCCCGGCAGGGCCCTGCCCGCCCGGCACCCGGGAAAGGTGAGCGGAGTTACAAAATCCCGCAGTCAGTTCGGTTGGAAATGAACTAAAGGTCTCTGGGATCATCAAGCCCAGTCTGTGATCCAATACCGCCGTGTCAAACAGACCGTGGCACTGAGGCATTCCTTAAACACCGCCGGGGATGGCGAGGCCACCACCTCCCTGGGCAGCTCATTCAAATGTTTAATCACTCTTCATGTGAAGAACTTCTTCCTGATGTCCCGAACCTCACCTGGCACAGCCTGAGGCTGTGTCCTTTTGTCCTGTCCCTGGTTCCCTGGGAGAAGAGGCCATCCCCCACCGGGCTACACCCTCCTCCCAGACAGCTGTAGAGAATGATAGGGCCACCCCTGAGCCTCCATTTCTCCAGGCTAAACACCCCCAGCTCCCTCAGGCACTCCTCATGGGATGTGCGCTCCAGACCCTTCACCAGCTCCCTTGCCCTTTCCTCCTCCTCAGTGAAGAGGATTGAGGGCTGTGGGGATGGGCTGGTGTCTGGGAGCACAGGACAAACCCAGCTTTGTTTAATTTGATAAAATAATGTCCCTGTGCCCTACAGTGCTGAGGAAGAACTTGGTAACCGCAAGAGGATATAAATCCTGAAGGTTAATAAAGTTGAAATTCAAGGCCCCCACAGGCTGCCTTGTTTTTCTAAAGCCACCCCCATTGACTGGCAGCGTTCAGGGCAGAAAGCCCCACAGAATGTGGGGTGGGAGGGGTGAAAGGAAGGAGGTAAAAGACAATGGGTGAAACTTGTGCCCAGGGGCAGGTGTGTGGGAATGGCCTGTGTAACACTAGACAGGTTGCACAGGGAGGTAAGCAGATAAACTCTCCTCTGGTGCAGAGCCATGTTTTGGATAAGCAGCCATTTGAATGCATGCAGTCTCCTTCCTTGGTGCTCTGCTGAAAGCCCTCCCTATGGAGCATCTGCAGGGGCTTTGTCACCTCACTGCCAGCCTGTGATGTTACTCTTACAAAGGAACAATATGCTGGTCTCCTCAGGATGCCTTCTGTTGGTGTTTATAATCTCTTTTTGGAATGAGTCTGGACAGGCTCTTGAACAGGGATTGCAGCAAATGGCTTGTTGGTTGTGCAGTCCTGTACACAAAAGCAGCCTGTGCCTGGGAAACAGGGTGATGGTGTTAACATGACACCGTGCCCAGCTAATACTGAGCTTTGGAAAGCTGCCTTATGCTGTGGCACTGTCCTGCACAAAAGCTGGGAGCAGGAAATCCCTTTCCTTCCCAGGGCTTTCACAGCAGCAAGCTCGGGGTACCAGTGCTTCATGATCTTGGGCTAAGATATGTAGCTGTAAGTGCAGTCCCATGGCAGAGGTAAATCCAAAATCCCCTGTAAGTAACAGGCAGGTAACAGAGGAGCTGCTGTCCCTGAAATGAGGAGATAGCTACAGGAATTGAATGCTCGAAGCACATGTTTTGAAGTGTGGTAGGAGTGTGATTCCCTGCTCTGGCTGAGCTGTGTTAACAGCTTCTTTTGCTGTTTACCATTCACACCTTGCCTAGACCTCTTCTGCTGTTCCTGCCTTCAGCTGTACACTTCATCTTCTTCTCACTGTCTTGCACCAACTCTAGTGCTTGCTTGATCACATAATAATCCAGTTCTGCTTGCTTTCCAGCCAAAACCAATTTACTTTCTGCTGTTTTAGTGAGTTGAATTGGCTTTGTGCTGCAATCAAATGTGCACTGGAGCAAAGACTTGGCAGAAGCACATGTCCCACAGGGAAGAAACTGGGGGAGGGATGGGGGAAGAGGGCTACCTCTCTTGGCAGCAGTGAGTGGTGACTGTAACTGAAGCCCTGATGAGAAGTTGCAGTTTGAGACACCACTGCCCATCAGTTGCTACGCCTTCTCTGTTTGGGGCTGTCATCTGGCTAGCAAAGGCAGCCTAACAGCAGCAGGGTTTTACTGTTTCATAGCTTTGCTTGTTTCTAATTCCTACTCTTTCTATTTAGAGGTTGTTTAAGCTAGTTTGGCAGATTTTACCCCAAAGATTAGGGTGCCTGCATGAACTCTGTTCTCCTGTCTAGATACCAAATATTTGGGAAATTGATTCATCATTTGCATCCAGCAGAAGATAGCTACTCTTGATGGCATGAGGAATTACATCTCCCTTCTGATGGGCAGGTTTCATACAAACAGTTGAAAAATAACAAGGATTCATGGCTGGAAATAGACTTTTTTGGAGGGGCTGAAATATAAGCAGCCACTGTTTGCAGTATAACCAGTAGTTTTGTTAAAACTACTTCTTGTTTCTCCTTCTGGGCTGAAAGGGTTCAGCGTGGCCATTTTGGTTTGGAAGACTGGGTGGAACTGAAGGGATGCAATTATGGACTGGGTAAAATTCAGTGAAGCTGGTGGGCATAGTAAGTATTTAGAAGAGTTTCAAGTCATTATGGAACCAGGTAGTTGAAATAACAGGGTCACAACCAACACAGAATTACAAGGTGAGATCTACATTAAAAAAAGCTTAACTCTATGACATAAGCGTTTTTCTCTGGAGACTCATGAAGGAAATACAAGATAGGCAGTGACTGCTGGAGTTGCCTATATATGACATAAAAACCAGTGAAACAAGCCACAGAAAATCATGCTGACTAGGGAGAAACATCCAAATGTAGTAGTAGGAGTGTGTTTCTAAGGAGAAAATCATGAAGGGATTAGCTATTGTACTGGCTAAATTTAAATGACAACTACCAAAGAAAAAGATCAGGTCATTTGTTTTTACGTTATTGCAGGTGAAAGGATGTTGTGTTGTATGTAAGAAGATGGGTTTGTATCAAAGATGCACTCAATTCTGTCATCAATTTCTCTTTGTAATAGAAATAACCTTTGGGACTGAATTTTGGCTAGCTGATGAAGTCCAGAGGGGCTGATGTGCAGAAAATGAAGTGTGAACTGTTTTGATATTTTTTTTCCCCGTGGTAATTTACTCGAGTAGGTCACATCTGTGTCCTGGATCAATGTAGTCCTGGATACATGCTCCCGCCTAACCAAACAAAACAAAACACAATGAAACAAAACAAAACAAAAAACCTAAAACCTAATCTAGGTACAGGGTACAAGGTGCTATAAATAGATCTCTGGGGACAGATTTCTCCAGCCAGGCAGGCAGGGCACCACTGGAGTCTGTTCAGTCTGACAGGAACACTAAGCTCCTGAGATCAGCAGGACTAAAATTAGCTTTGGAACACTGTTTTCTACCCTTATGCTGCTGCTTTTATATGAAATCTGTTGTTTATTGTTATAAACAACAAGAAAAGAATTTGGATTGAAAGCTTTTTTTTTCTTTCTTTCTTAAGGAGATTTTGAAATCCCTGGTCTTTGGAATGGGAGGTAAATTTGGGAACTAAGTAATTGGTTATGTGTGGTCAAATTTTTTCTATGCTAATGACAAAAACCAAAATCACAACAATAAATATTTCTTCAGCAAAAGAAATGTAAACAGTCATGACAGAATTAATATTATATCCTTGGTGTGTGCTGTTACAAATACTTAATTTTAAAAGCAGTGGAACCATGAGCTTCTTTTATTTTTGTCTTTGGAAATGTGTGAGTTGTTTGGTCAGTAGCTGTTTCTCTTACAAGTCTGATACTTCCCAGCATCTTCTGAGTAATTGTCTAGCTCTGATTTAGAGATCTTACAACATGGCTTTCTGAAGAGAGGGATTTTGTCTCACTGAATCTAGACCCTCACTGTGGAACAGCCAGTTTCTGGGACACATCCAAAACAGGCTGGAGGTAGTGAGGATGTTTCTGTTGAAGCCTTGAATCCTAAAAGGCTGTTATCTGTGGGCCCCTTCATATTTACATCAGCTTGAAGTACAGAGCTGTAACACCAGCCTCGGTAATGCTCTGCATCACCACAGCTGTCACTTTCATGCTGGCTTTCCTCAAGTTCTTCTGTTGCTGGCCACCCAAGATGTATCTGAAACCTTATCATTCATTTTCTTTTTCCCTGTTCCTAAATGGAGATGTAGTGGGCTAAAGCCATTTTCCCCCTTCTAAAATGTTGAGCAAAACCAAAATGGCTTTTGAAATCTGAGAAACTGTTAGCATTAAAATTTCTCCCTCATTTCTTAACAACCCATTCTCACAAATTCCATCTGTGTTGTGCTGAGCTTGGGGGAACCCTTGTCTGTGTAAATATTAGGGACTGTCTGCAACCCCATACTTATTTTTCTGTAATAATTTACCACTTCAGTGTAAAAATATATCAGGACTTAAATTTGCTTTCAGAGGATTTTTAGACCCTGTGTAGATCTCTGCAGTCTGGATTGCTCTAAAATTCACACTGGTGGACCTTTGTGCAGTGCTTTTGTCTCGACCATCCCAGAGTTCTCAGTAGTCCTGGGCTTCTGATTCTGTGTGCCAGTTTGCAAATTGCATAAAATTGCAGCAAGAGCAGCTATCTGGGAGCTCAGGCCACTTCCCTGTCTCTTGGCATGAATACATTACATTCCATTTTATATTAGTAAAATATTTATGAAGTTTTATTAACATGGTAGGGGCTCTTGCTCTTTCACAAGAGGTATCAATTATGAGCAGCCTTCTCTCTGATTTAATCTACTCTCCCATCTAGTGTTTTTCTTTTCTCATCTGGACACAGATAAAATCCAATAACAAGGTATTTATTTTGTGGACAAAACTATCAGAGTTTGAGTCAACACTTGGGGCAGTCGTTGGAAAGGTTTCTCATGCACAGAAAATTTATGAAGGTACAGAGGTGCTGGATTCAGTAATCAAGCCTTAAAAGGTATTCAAACATTTTGTTCCTGAACAAAACACATTCCTGTGCAGCTCTGAGCTATTTACATCTGGATGGTCTGTCTGGGTCTCTAAACATCATCAATTGTATGTGTTAAGAAGGAAAAGAGTTATTAAATTTAGGTCTCCTGTTCATGCAAACAATTTGTCATTCTTTCTGTCGACCTCCTGAAAAAGAAATGCAACAGTGGCATCCTGTGGCCCCAGCAGTTCATGGCAGGTGGGTCTGGTTTAGGGCAGAACCTTCCACCAAGGTTTTCCTTCACTGAGCAGGAAATGGATCGAGTTGTTTCTAAGTTAGTTTTCAGAAGAAGCCCACAATAT